ATGCAATGGCAGAAAGATTATCACAGAAGAGCACATGAGCATCACAGATTTGAATATGCAGGAATTGTAACAGTTGCTAAATCCAGTCAAGCTCAGCAGTTGTAGTGGACATAGCCCTGTACTCAGCCTCTGTAGAGGACCTGGAAACCGTGTTTTGCTTCTTGGAGGACCATGAAAATAGGATTATTGCCCAAAAAGACAACCATGCCAGTAGTTGACCGGCGATCATTAGGGTCCCCTGCCCAGTCTGCATCACTAAAAGCCTTTAATGACAAAGCACCCCGAGTATAAGAGAGACCAACCAATAAAGTACCCTTGAGATATCGCAGAATACGTTTCACTGCTGTGAAATGGGACATCATTGGAGACTGCATAAATTGGCAGACTTGATGAACTGAGAAAGTAATGTCAGGCCTAGTGAAAGTGAGATACTGTAACGCTCCAACAATGCTCCTATACGCTGTTGGATTGTTGTATGGAAGACCATCATCCTTTAATAGTCGATTATAAGGAAGACATGGAGTGTCACAGGCTTTGCAATCCATCATGTCAACCTTTTCCAATAAATCTTGGATATACTTTGATTGTGACAAGAATAAGCCTTGAGCAGTTTTGGTAACCTGAATCCCCAGAAAGTAATGCAACTCTCCCAAGTCCTTGATATCAAATTCAGTTGTCAAGGATTGAATAACCTGCTGAATAGCAAAAGAAGAACTCCCAGAGATAATAATGTCATCCACATAAAGTAAGAGGATGACAATATCACTTCCAACAAACTTAACAAACAAGGAAGAATCAGAATATGTAGACTGAAATCCTAAAGATGGAAGAAAACCTGTGAACCTCTCATTCCAGGCTCGAGGAGCCTGTTTTAATCCATATAGGGACTTATGAAGTCTGCACACGAGCTCAGGATGAGAATGATCTTCAAAACCAGGAGGTTGAGCCATGTAGACCTCTTCATTCAACACTCCATGTAGGAAGGCATTCTTCACGTCCAACTGCCTCAGGGACCAATTAAATTGGGCTGCCAAAGCTAGAACAAGACGCACAGTGGTTGGCTTGACCACTGGACTAAAAGTCTCCCCATAATCTAAGCCAGGTTCTTGATTAAACCCCTTTGGCAACCAAGCGGGCCTTATGTCGAGCAATAGAACCATCGGAGTTCGTTTTGAGCTTAAACACCCATTTGCAACCACCATATTCTTTTTATGTGGCCAAGGAACTAGACTCCATGTGTTTTGATTGTGAAGGGCAGCCAACTCTTCTTTCATAGCATTCAACCAAACTGGGGCTTTCAAAGCAGACTTATACGTAGCAGGTTCCACTTGAGCTAAATCAACCGGACTAGAATCATGAAGCTGACTGAGCAACACTTTCTTTTTTATTATACCATCCTTACTTCTTGTTTGCATAGGATGTAGATTAAGCGGTGCTATAGGCAAGACCACTTGAAGGTGATCAGAATTGAACATAGGATCCACAGGGAGTAATGGTGAAGAACTTGCAGGTGCAGTAATGGACGGAGAAGCAACATTCTCTGGTGATGACAGTGTGCTAGGGGATGGTACTGATACATAAGGAGAAGTATTGGGTGAAGAAGACATGGGAATAGAGGATGAAGAGACAACATCATTCAATGACAGAGATTGTGAGGGTGAGAGTGTAATTGGAGGCTGAACTAATGTGTTATTCAGATCAAGAACATGATGTAAAGGGAAAGAATGAGAGATAGGTACTTGGACATATGTAGATAGAGGTTTCATAGTCAAATGAGGATATGGGAATCTAGA